CAATTATTTGGCAGAAATATAAAGAATGGATACAAACCACAAAAACAACTGAGGTAAAGTTACTTTACATGTGTGTCAAGGTTACAGACCATGCGGTCATTCAAAGAATCTTAAAGGTTATATTATAGTCTGGAATTCATGTTAGGGCATCTTCAGGAGGTGGAGGTCTTTCCCAAACTTCTGGCAGTCTACTCTCTTATGTTCAGACTATGGCCCAGAATCCTCCAACCTGGCTATAGAAAACCTTTAGCACTGGGGTTTTACTAAAACCAAAAAATATTTCCAATTCTGGTTCTCAAATCTTCAAAGTAATATTCCATAATTACTGCTTTAATACTAAACACTGCAATGCTTTTTCTGGGCAAAAAGTATACCAGTTCCATATGGCTATTACTTATAAACCCTCAATTCCAAATGGCTGGGCGTCATTACACAACCAACCTAACCCTAGACGACATCTGACATCTACTGATTTCCTATCATAACTACAATGAAGAATTTCTTCACTCAAAAGGTCAAAATGAAGAAATAATCTATATTCATATGTTTAACTTATTCAAAAAGTAGGTGGGTGTTACGCTTATAGAAACACCCTAAAAAATTAGTAAGATGGTTTCTAACTAGTTAAATGTGTGTTTTTGCTTTTATACTATCTTATGTTCAATTTAGCTGAGAAGGTCTGAAACACAATTTCCATAATTCTTCATTTTTACACTATCTTTCTGCTTCTATCTGCAGGCACACACTAACTCACACCCCACCTTCATCATTAATTTGTCCTTTTCTGATTCTTTCACAGGCTCCAGGTCTTTTGGGATTCTGACACGAGGAAGATGCCATTATGACAAACTGAATACTGAGCTCCTGAAAGTCTAAGCTATTGTCTCTTTTCCTAAAGGGAAACTGAGATTTTGAAAGTTGGTTTTCAAATAATCAGTCTTACTTTCACTGACAGATCTGTCAATGGGGGAAGAAACCAAAAACAAAACCAACAACAGAAGTGTGCTGCAATGAGCACACTTAAGGAAATGTGCTCACATAAGGAAAGCAAAAGCATGTTGAAAATCAAATCAATGAGCCCATAGCACTAAGACATGTAACATACATGTTTTCTTGTATTCATTTCCGCTTTAGAAAAAAATGCACAAGAGGCTATGTGCACTACAAAGTGGAACAGAAAGATTTAAAATATAAATAAAACTTTTTTTCTTCCTTTTAAAGAAAGAATTCTGCAGATATGAAAAGCAAAATTCACAGCCAATAGGCACAGGACTACAGAGATAAGCCTTTGCCAAGTGTGCTTTGTAAGACTTGCACAGCATAATTTCAACATTTTTTTCTTTAATTTTTTTAATTAAGGAGGAGGTGTTGTATTCTAAGGAAGCTGTATGGACGCTACTGGCTGAAGTACAGATTTGCTCTTCTCGTGCTGGTTAGCTAACATTGATTTTCTGCCCCAGTGAAAGAGATTTTACTCTGATGCATGCCATTTAAACTCATTTTACACAGCTGCTTAATGTGGCTTGGCAAGACACAGCCAAACGAGCTTTGTGGGTCTAAACAGCACTCCTGAGTTGGTAAAGGACAGAGCCTGTGGATCAGCAGCTGATGATAAATGCCTTTCTTCCCCATTGTTACTTCCTATTGACTCAAACTGACCTTGAAGGTGCCAAGAAAAAGTACAAAGGAAGACAAGAAAATTTCCCAAGAATAAGTAGGTTTACTTCATTCTGTAGTTGTTTTTTCACCTTGAGGATTATATTTGGAGAATTCTATATTTGTTGGTCCACATTAAGGATCATGTTTACAGAATTTAGAGCTCTCAATTACAAAATGTTCATTTGCTTTTGCTGGCTAAATGTATAAGGAATATGAAACTGTTAGAAAGCTTTCTGCATCAAGAATTCATAAAAATAGTGAAACTACAGTTAATAAATTTACTGTTTAAACAAAGCTAGTTGACAATTCTGCTTTATTTTACCTAAAAGGTGAGGGATGTCGCTATTGCAAGTACCAATTGCAATTAAGTCTATATATGACAATGTTATCATTAATATACATCAAATGATAACAGTAATACTAATATAGTAATAATATTATGCTTTAAGAGTACTTAACTTCAAAATGGTGACAGAATCTGGTATTATATCATTTTGTAGCAAAGAGGAGAGATGTTTTTTATTATGTAATTCCTGAATTGAAATTAGTATTCCTATATTGAAATGACCATATCATGTTTAGGTGGAAAATTCTGTGAATTATTCTGCTGTATTTTACTAGTTATTGTGATTTACCAATACTCAACGGAAGGAAATAACAGTGATAGTTGTTGGCTTAGCAATGCCATTATGAAACCTCTTCTATACACAAGCAAGCAGCCCAGATCATCCTACTGCATGAGTCTCATGTCATACACATGCCATGCTGCTCGGGGTATATGTAGGTGTGACTGCATCTTAAGTGTGTGGCAGGAAAGATCATTGAATAGTCATGACAGAAGACATAACGCAGATTTCTAGACAAAACAACAGCAAAGGGGGAATGGAGGCCAGAGTAGGTAATTTCATTGCTTTTATGGAGACAGTTACTATTTTCCCTCTTAGGCATGAAGGAAAGAAGTAATGCCAAAAGTCATGCAGACAGGACCCAGAGGGTGGCATGTGATTTTCTTCTAAATTGCCACAGAAGTGTTAAGAAGAAAAACAACACAGTGCTGATTTCTGTAGCACATTACTAAAAATACAAACCAAACCAAAACAAAACAAAATCACCCAATAAACAAATGCAACAACAACAACAAAAAATAGAATAACAAGCCCCTCAATGACAGATTTCCCGTGAGATCTTTTGAATCTTTGGATTGAGTGTTCCTTTTGCAACCAGATGGCATGTTTAAGTGAAAATGCCCAAGGCTGCCTTGGCAAGCCCAGGGAGCAATGCTACCTACCCGTGCTGGTCAGCCTGGTGCATCTTAGGAACCTGAGACCTGCCATAGTTGGGTGCTGGGAAGAAAACATGGGATGTCCACCAGTTCCAGACTGGCTAGGATAAGCAGGTGACCTAATGTATGCCAGCTTAAAGTAGAACAGAAGCTTCTCTTTGGATTTGTTCTAAAACACAAGTTTGAGCCCCTGTTTACCTGTTGCTTCACACATAAGCATGAAGCATTTACAGAATGGGGTAAATACGCAGAATATTCTGAATCTACCTGTGGCCAGACTGTGGAACTTGGTAAAATTCCTTAAAAGAAGAAAAAAGTGGAGAAGAGGGCAAAGGAAAGAGAAAAGAAGTATTTTCAGATTTATTCTTTAACCTTAGATCTAATTTCAGATCTAATCTCAGTTTATAGATTTGATTTTGGTAAGATAAAAAATAAATAGCCCGATTTTAAGTGGGTAGTTTGTGAAGGCAAGACTTAGGAATGCTCTACTGATTAGGACAAGGAAACAAAAGATAGGCTTGGATGTATTTTTGTAAATTAATTCAAACTGATTCAGAAAGGGAACACAGAAAGACAAATCAAGCCGAATTCTGCCTTAATCTCTGTGGTTTTCTTCCTCTCAAATCACCAACAGAGGCCTCATGCCAAAAGCAATCACATACTTTTTACTTAACAGACGGAAAATAACTTGTGCTTTATGAGTTCCAACCACGACAATCCATTTAAATCTAATTAGAGCTTCAATTGGACAGCCGAACTAGCCTTCACAGACAGGTTTATTCAAACAGTCCTTAGAGCAGTGGTGGCAAACCCATGGAACACACATCACAATCGGCTATTATCACTGAAAACTCTAAAAAAGTTTGCCATCACTGCCCTGGAGCCTCTATATGGGTTCAACTGCAAGACAGAAGATAGACTTTAAATGACTGGAATGTGGGAGGGAGAAAAAGAGAGGGAGGAAGTAGAAGAGAAAGAGGGAGAGGGGAAAGAGAAGTAAACGGGATGGAGGGGAGGAAGAGAGGGGAAGATTTATTTTAATTCCTCAAGGGAAACTTCCTATTATTTGGAGCAAACAATGCGACTGAAGGAATTCACACCTTCACAAAATAGCAGCTTCAGAGAAAGGAACAAAGGGCACATTTAAAAATACACCCATACACCTATACCCACACCCACATGCGTGTGTGCACACACATATGCTTTTGCTATATAGTAGTAGTTCCCTTTCACAAAGGTTAGAATCTATGTTTTATTCTGATGACACCACTGGGGTACAACTTTCAGTGTGCTTTGTTTTGAAAATGTATTTACATCTGCTTTTTAAAAAACATAGTCATCTTTGATTTATAAACTTATAATTTATATTTTTATTTGAACCAAGTATTTAAGAAATTAGGCCTATAAACAAATAAGTAATAGAAGCTTAAACTTGTTCTATCATCTTAAACTTCTTTATACATTGTATTTGCTTTATTAACCATATTTTGAGTTGGACAGATAAGGTGGTATGACCAGAAAAGTAAAACGTAACCAAAGGATGTGCAATGTATAAATCCTACACATACACATTTAGACCAAAACACAACACACATATAGGTACACACTCAAAATTTCTATTTTATAAAGACTCTTATGATAAAGTAAAAAAAAGTGGAGATGTGGATATGTTTTTTTCAGGATGTCAGATTTTAAATAACTTGTGGCTTTAGTGTTTCCTACTTCAAACTCATTTTTTAAAATGGAACTACAGACACTGTCCTACACAGGATCTGTTTTACTGGTTGCAGTGAGTATCCATAGACATTTTGAGGTCCTCCAACGAAAATGACGTGCCCATTTCTCAGATTCCTTCCTCCGTGTTGTCACTAACATAATTCTCTAACCTTTACATTACAGAATATATTTAATGAAAAATACAAAACAAAAACCAAATCAAAAAACCAACAGCCAAGCAAAAGTATATTCAGCTATTTTTATGCACTCTAGGGAAATGAAGCAGAGCCTATCACATGTCAACACACAGAACATCAGCCCAGCATTATCCTGAGTGGCATACCTGCTTTGTGCTGAGTTTGCAGCAGCCTGCATCACAGCTGCAGCAGCCTCCTGTGCCTTACGGTTCACAGTAGGCATTGGTGGCCCCATTCCTGGCCCACCCTGCTGAGATATGCCAGGAGAACTGGGGGTCACGCTGCTCATGTTTCCAGGAAATGGTCTGTTCTGCATCCCAGCTGATGGCATTCGTCCCAGGGGCATAGCACCACATGGCTGGCTTGGCCCTTGTCCATGCATCTGGTTGTTGACATTGATACCCATCCCGGGCCCTGGGCCACTGTAACTTGCACCGGGCACCCCACTATACGTTGGGGGTCTGGAGTAGTTACCTAAACAAAAAGCAAACACAAATTAAGACCTTTTAACCTTCAAATTTGTGAAAACAGTCACAGGAAATATTTTTTGTCTAACAATGTGCTCATCACTGAGTACTAGTATGATCTACTAGCCCTTCCTGTCGGTGTGGATGAGCTAACAGTCTCTAAATATGCTTTCTGCATGCATTCCTAAAGTCCAAAAGGGTTAATCCAAAGACAAAAAGCAAAAAGCCCACATGAACTCTTAACATGGTGTGGGGAAAGCAGGATACTTTGCTGGTGGGATATTAGAATTGATTGTTGCTTTAGTATGTTCAAAATCTTACATTTGAACCAAAATCATAATTTCAACTCCCAGTCTAATGTGAGACAGGTCTACCACATCATTCCCTCCAACTGTTAGAGCAGGACACACACATTTAGGGCCAAAATTATCCTTCAAGACCCAGAGGATGGTATTGTGTGGGCCTCCTGATATTAGTGCAATACCGTTTTTCTCCAGTGTCAGATTATTACCTTTTAAAATTTTGCTTGAGTCCCAGATAAAATGGCTGATGTGTTTAGTGTTGTATCTTAGATTCCAAAAACTAGTGTTACTGTGAGCACAACAAAATATTGACAGGAGGGTAAACAAATAAGAAAAGGCTAAAATGAGAGGTCATGAATGACCTCCCAATGCTGTGTAGGGGATGCACACATAGGGAAGAGAATGTATCTGCATGGCGCCAGCAATTTCTGTAGTTTTTTCCTCCCCCTTTTTTTTTATACATCACTTATTCTGATTGTATGTATGTAAATTAAATTCAAGTAAAGGTAAACATGATAGAACTTCAATAATACTACAGCAGAGATTAATTGTTGAGCCATAATGGTTCCAGACACCCAGGTAAGTGCTTTGCCTTAAATTCATTCATTTATCCCAATAACAATATGAAATACAAATACCACAATTCACACATAAGGAAAGTCAAGAGCTAGTAGATTGGATTGAAGTTCAAGCAAATTGACTTTGGAACTGTGCTGAACTGTGTATTGAACTGACAAACCATGTTGCTTTCAATAAATTACTGAAGAAAAATGCCAAAGACTATTGTTTATAGAATGTGTATTACACTCTTTCTTAGTCCTATCCTACTATTTCTGGGAAGACTCTCCTCATACATCTAACCTGACTACACACTCATCATTTGCCAGAAACTGTTTTAGGTGTAGGTCAGATATAGGTACAAGTTAACACACCTGGATTCCTGTACTTCGGAAATTTACAATCTGTATGTGCGTATGCATGAGCATGGGTGCGCTTGTGTGTGTGCTGGAGTAGGAGGAGTAAAGATAGAAAAATACAAAACTAAAAGCACAAAGACTAAGCTAAGAGCAGGTCTGATTGGGACTGGGGGACCAGAGACCCTTCCATGGGAACTGTGAGTTGATATTTCTTGAACAAGCAGTTCTGGAACAAGTGGTCAGTCTTTGGAGTTGAGGGGCTGCAGTAGGCCCTTAGGTGACCTGTTCTCTTCTTGTTTTCTTTCATAGTCCTCCCTGTGAAAACAAAGGCAGTTCTCTCTGATGTTGAGCACTTGAACGAAAGTCAGGACCAAGGGATACATGTAGGTAAGTAGCCTGAATGTGAATATGAAACAGTGGGGTCTATTGATGGATGAAGACCGGATAGGGGGAGGAAGAACATTCACACATTAGTAAACATGAATACTGTACAGAGGCAAGAGAATGTTCAAGATAGTCATGGAGGAGTTTCCTGAAGCTATGGGCTCTGAGGGGGAAAAGGCTATGGCTCTTGAATACCAGTTGTGTGTGTGTGTGTGTGTATACTGGGAATCAAACTCAGGACCTTGCACTTGCCAGGAAGGTGCTTATGCCATTGAACTACATCCCCAGCCTAAGAACCAGGTTGTTAAGTTATCTGGACAACAGGGAAGACCATTTTAAGGATTTCTAGCAGAAAGTACTCAATTAACAATAATAAAAGCAAATACTTAATATTTACTATGTGTGTGAGGCTTAGTTTCAAGTTCTTTGTATTAATTCATCAATTCCTTATACATAGCCTAGGAGGTCAAGCTATTGTTTCTGTTGGAGGTTAGGATCTAACGCACAGAGTTGCTCAAAGTCTAAGAACACCACACTCTGACATGCTGGACTTTCTGGTGTCTAAGAAATAACATAGTTATATAAAAATATTATCATAACTATGAAAATAAGTCATGATGTTATGATGATAAAGTTTTTGCTTAAATTCACAAACGTAAAGCAGTACTGCCTACAAATCTGCAAGAAATTCAACAGACTTTTCAACTTACTGAGTGTCTATTATTTTTAGGTATATCACATGAGAGGCATTTTTTTTTTTAACTTCCTGAGGATGTGCTGAGCACTGTTCACATTAAGACACTTTTCAGCTTAGGGCCACACAGTAAATATTTCGGGGCAAATGGTCAAGCACAACTTTTCAGTTCTCCACTGCAGCCTGATGGCAGCCGCACAGGTAGGTTCCAACAGAAGTTTATTTACAATAATAGGTAGTGGGCCAAAGTGGACCATGATTAGTTCACCTCTGATGTGGATTAATCTTGGAATGCACTAATAAACTGCTATACTAGCAACAGAAAGTAGACCTTATTCAAGCCAACAATGTCTTTAAACCAGGCATTACTTGGAGGCTGAAGTGAGGATTCTCTCAGGGAGCTAACAGCAGACCTAGGGAGCTAGAAATAGAGGGACATACTGGGTGTCGGGGCAGAAGCAGGCAAGGTTGGCCCTGAGTACTTTAGCGTCCCAACTACACAGGAGTTAGATTGGTGGCAGCTCCTCACACTGAACGCGCTGCTTTGCAAAAACAAACTGCTTTCCATAGTCAGGCTGTGCAGAAACAAGCTTACACTCTTTTCAAGTAATAGGTTACAAATAATTAAACCTGTTTCATTAGTTTTCAAGTTCCTCACAGAAGGTTTTGAAGGTGCCCCTGAGTCTCCCATCCTGTGGGATGCATGCAAATCTAAGGGTTGTCTGCCCTGTACCACCTTGTTTAGAAGGCCTTTTGCCCAAGTTCTTCTCTTTGAGCAGAAAATTGGGACTCACTCAGAAGGAGGACTTCACTTCTACATTACTTGATAAAATTAGTGAAACATGGTGCTCCTCTTTACCTTTTGCTTTTGTTAAAATGAATATACTGGCTCATAGCTTGAATTTACAAGTAATTGGTACACATACTCATGCTGTTAGTTAGGTGCTACTTTCCATTCTCCCTAGTGCTTGATAAGTGATTCATTTGGTAAGTAAAAACACAGTGCTGTCTTTGCTTTTGAAGGAAATGAAGTAACACTTAAATCTTGTTTTAGGAAATAAGCATATGGACAAAGTTATTGTAGACTATGCTCATAATGTGGTTCTATTAGAGAAAGAAGGCCTGATCTTGTTGATCTCTGCTTACAGTGCTGTTCCTTTGAGTTCTCAAATCTTGGGTCTCAATGTCAGTTAAGGACTTGCAGCTTAGTGAAGATGGAGAAGAGTCACTAGGAAGCCAGTGGTTCCGCACTCTACTCCCAGTTCTCACTCCTCATATGGACTAAGGAATTCAGGGTTGTTTTCCACAGCTGAGCTTGCTGGGCAGCCAGCCTCTATTTCCTAGCAAGAAGCACTCTGTGACTGCCAGGGCCAGCATAGAGCACAACCACTGCCCCTACAAAACCTGTGTGTGCACTTCGAGGAGTGCACTTAGCACTGGCTCATAGCTACCTGTCACCAATCAATTGGGTTGACACAAAAGCACACATTTGGGGGAGTGTTCTAATTATGGTGGCTTCTATTTGGGAGAAGTACAGAAATCCCCTTTTATTTTCCTTAAACTTTTAAGACATTCATCACTGAATTTACAACCTGGATAAAAACACATTTTAAAGGCTCCAAATGGCTGCCAAGGTAGCAAGGGAAGAAGCCCAGACTTTAGAACCGGGATCTCAATAGTGGTTCTGATACTTTCTGGCACATGACCTTCACAAATTATTTAACCTCTCTGCACAGTGGTACTGTCATCTGGAAAGTGGCAATGTTAATGGGGAGCAGGAAAGGTGAAGAGTGCCGTGCCAGGCAGAGCAGCCGAATGAATGACAGCTGCCCTCGTCATCATCCACCAGTGGAACAACAACATGACCTTTCCCCACCACACTTTAAAGACATGTGGGTGGGGAAAATATAATTTTCCCCCTTACCCATTCACATAACCGATAGCGTATCTTTCTCCTCAAAATAAACAGAAACTAAATATGTAAGAGGAGCAAAGGAAGAGGAAAAGCCAGGAATGAGAAGTACAATCTTTTTTCCATGTTTCACTAATAGATTAGTAATTTGTTGGCACTAGCTTTGACAGAAAACAGATGGATGCAGCATTAAGCACAATGAAGGCAGCAGATGCGGGGCCAGCCCACCTCAGCTGGACTGGTCTTCCAGCCAAGTCATGGAGCCCACAGTTTTCAAGTGGGTTCATCTTGGCACCCAGCTTTGGAAAATTGGTCACCAAATGAATTCAGATTTCAACCCACCAGGAGTTATATTCAAGCACCAGATAGAGGAAGTATCAGTTAACTATTCAAGTTGCCATCACTATTTTAGGAGAATTGCAAATAATTTTGCATCTGACTCTAGAACATTTACATTTAGTAGTCATAATCAATGCTCCAAGCTTACTGCTTTTATTAAACTATTAAGCATTCCCACTCGCACAGGAGATTTTCCTTCTCAGCTTCAATCATTTAACAATTACTTTTGGATGAGTACTATAAGCAAGGTTCTGCATTGTTCACCTCTACTGAGGAAAATATAAAAGGCATGCTTCATAAACAAAACAGTCAACCCTGTGTGGGAAAAAATATAGTTATATACTATGATAGGTATATTTTGAAATTAGGGCTAAACACACACTGTTTTTCAGCCAATTGTGTTCACTATTTTTATAGCAATACATTACATAATATGAAATCCTATTTATTAATTTACAT